AATAATCATTTCAAAGAGATATCTGCACCCCCATCTTTACTGCAGCATTACTTACAATAGCCAAGATGTGGAAACAACCTAAGTGTCCATTGACAGATGAATGGATAAAGATGTGATATATATTTATATCACAATGAAATATATGCAGCCATAAAAAAAGGAGGAAATCCTGTCATTTGGAACAATATGGATGAAACTTGAGGGCTTATACTAAGCAAAATAAGTCAGACAGACAAAGACAAATATTGTAGGATTTCACTCATATGTGGAATCTAAAAAAAAAAAACAACTTGTAGAAAGACAAAAAAGATTGGAGGTGGCCAGAGATGGGGGTGGGGGGTAGGGGAAATGGTCAAATAAAATAGGTATCATTGCATCCCAAGTGCTATAGAGATCCAGAGACTCCCCTACAATTTCTGTGAATTCCCAGGGGCTTACAGCTCAGATCTCTTGTTCTTCCTGAACTCTCCATCTCACTGAACTCTATATTTCTCTCCTATATGGCACCTGCCCCCACTCACCCCACTCCCTACACACATGCATGATCTGCTGCCGCAGATCAAAGTCTGCTTTCCTTTAATTCCACAAATATTATCGGCATAAGACCATTGTGTGTAGCAAACTCTTACCAAAGGTTCTGTGGTTGGTACACATGTGCTTGTTTATATGTTATGCCTTCACACAGGATGGATGGGACATTAAGATGAGACTTCTTTAAAAAGTCCTTGGCATATAATAAGTCGGCCTTGAACGTGTATTGGCTGACTCCTTCCCAATGTCCCTGGCCTCCAGCTGCACTACTGGTTCCCCTCTCCAGGCCCCTCTTCCTCACTTTCCCGCACGGAAATCATTTTCATAATCAAATAATTCCCAAAGAAGGAGTCCTTTCAGGAGAGGTATAGGGACATGAGAGGGAGTGGTGGCAGATGGGACTTGCTCTCCGTTACCATGCAGGAGACCAGGGGATGAACTGCTTAGATTTTGACTCCCCGTAAGAAGAAGTGTCTGACCACAGGCTGCACAGATTGCCTTTGCAAGTTATTTCCTCATTACTATGTGGAGCAGAGGGGAAATGAAGCCAATGCTGGATATTCTCTTGCCTGGGGTGCTTCAGAGCAGTTCTGGGGAGAGAAGAGACCGGACTGCAGGTGACTTGCTTGAGGCCACATGGTGGGTTGGGAGAGGGGCTGTGATGTTGGGGGATAATTCCTGAGTTCATTTCATGAGTCCAGACTCTGTCCCTTAATTAGCTGCATGACCTTTTATAGGTCACATAATCCCTCTAGGACTCATGTTTCACATCCGTAATATGGTTTTGTATGCAGTGACCTGACTTTCTTGAGTGTGTGGGAGTGAAGTCAAACCTGCAGGCTATAAGGCCTTGAATACTGGTTCCCAGGACAAGGTAAATACCAATATTTGCATTGGGGATGTGGGGAGTTGACACTTTTCACTCAGAGCTTTGTTCTTTGCCCGCAGCTTCTTAGTTAGGCAACTGACAGTTGACATTTATTGAAAATGAGAAAGGAAATTTGAGTCACTGAAGAGGGTAGGAAGAGGAGACAACCAGTATATCCAGGAAGCCCTAGCCCAGCCTTGCTATACAAGCACGACTTCTGTGCCTGACCACAGGCTGGCATCGACGAGCAAAGCTATTTGGGGCAGAGCTGTTGATCCAGGAAAGCGGCAAAGCGTGGGTGGATGATGTGTGTGAAAACACAGAGTGGGGACTGCCCAACGCGATGCCAGGCGGGTCCTAAAGTGATGCTGTTTGTTCATTTAGTCTATAATTATTATTGAGTGCCTACTGTGGTGCTGGGAGCTCAGTGCTTATTATGATTCAGCAAAGAAGATAATGGAGCACAGAGATGATAAAGTTCAATTCCAACCCTCAAAGGGCTGACAGTTTTCAGGGAGAAACTCAAACGACCCTATTAGAAAAAGGAAATTGCAGTTGTGAGCGTAGAAGCAACCTCCATTGGCCTGAACACTCAGAGAAGTTTTCAGAAGTAAAGAATGTGAAGGCAGTTGACAGGTCACCACAAGTTTGCTAGTAAGAAACAGTTTGAAGAATGTGCTCCTGGCAGGAAAATAGCACGCAGAGACACAGAAGGGCAAACAGCTCAGAATGTTCAGGAAGGCAGAGGAAGTCTCTGTTACCAGAAGTGACAAAGAGCCTTGACATGCTTTGGAAAGAGTTTTGGTTTTGTTTTGGCCTGTCAGCCTGGCTCTCTGCCGGGGTCATTTCTCCAGAACTAACCTCTTAGCCAATGATCAGCAAATGTGGTCACAGTTTCCTTATTTCCAGGCCTGTCTGGATAGCATTTTTCTTCTCTGTGTCATCTGCAGCTGAGCAGGTAGCCAGACATGAGGCCCCTGCTCAGGGGCTTAGGCCTCTGCTGGGCCTCCCGGCTTCTGGGCTGCATTTGTCTCCTGCAGGGTAAGTGGTTCAGGATCCCTGGGAATGCATGGCAACTGAGTGGAGCCAGGATACAGGGTCCTGACCATCCGGAAGGCTGTTTAAGCTGCCAGGGCCTAGGAAGCTGAGCCAGAGTGGACAGCTGAGACAATATGATCCACTCTGACAATCCCTCACTACTGCACCCACCATGTTTCATCTCAGTCACTCTGATTCCCACCCTGTCTTCCAAAAGACTCTCTTCCCAGCAGCAATCTTCTCAGAAGGCTGGCAAATGGAAGGGTGCCTCCCTTTCTTTCCTGCCTTTGGGGAATAACAATTGCTCTGTACACAGAATTCTGAATCCACTCTGTTATTCAGCCTTTCTGAAAAAACTGCCCAAATAGCTATAGTGGGGTTCTGGACTCCCTTCAGATCTAGGATTTAAGGAAGAAATGAGCTTCCACCTTAGAACGGAAATCTGCCATCAGGCTGCCACAAAATTGGAGAAATACTTATAAATCATATATCTCATAAAGCATGTTTAGGACACCAAATTTTTTTGTTTTGGAAAATAGTTATTTTTTCATTAAAAAGTGTTATTTACTTAAACATGTAGTGGTTTCCTAACAAATTACCACAAACTATGTGAATTAAAATAGCCCTCCCCCCCATTTGTTATCTCTCAGTTCTGTAGGTGAGAAGTTTGACACATCTCGGCAAGTTCTCCCAAAGCTGAAATCAATGTTTCAGCAGACAGCATTCTCATCTGGAGCTTTGGGTCCTTCTCTAAGCTCATTCTTACTGTTGGAAGAATTCAGTTCCTTGTGGTTATAGGTCTTGCTACGTGTTAGCCAGAGATGACGTTCAGCTCCTAGAGGTCATGATCAAGTCCTTCCCCAGGGACCCCTCCATTGGAGCAAATGAAGAACCTCTCATGCTTTTGAGCTCTCTGTTCCTCTTTTTCCACCCTCTGGAGAAAACTCTTGTTTTTGAAGGGCTCATGTGATAAGGTTAGGCCCTCCCAATCATCTCCCTTCCTTAAAGCTACGTAATCTAATCAAGAAGTAAAATCAATCATGTTCACAGTTGTGGGGATTAGAGTGAGAAGTCTTGGGAGCCAATTTAGAAATATATATATATATATATATATGATTTATATTTATATTTGTATTTATATTACATTAAATATTTAATTTTTTTCTACACAAGAACTACAGACACATGCAGAATATCCTTCCCGACTTCTCTCTGCCACTCTCCCCGCAGCTGCACCCATATGCTCAAGTAGCTGGTACCTGACAGTGGCTGGGAAGGTCAGCTGCTCTCAACACAATACAACGAATGTCTTCTTGAAGTCAGTAACTTGTTGAACATAAAGATTCTGACGGCACCACAACTCCTTCCTGTGCAACAGGATATGCAGATGCACGGCTCCCTGGATTTGAACCCTCCATCTGATGCTGTCCCCTGGTCTCTGGGGAGGAGCCCCTGAGAGGGGTGCTTGGTGGAGAAGAAAGGGCACTGGCTGGAGAATTGGGAACACCGGTTATATCTATGGTCTTTGTCAAGTAATAATAACAGTAATAGATTTATTGAATATTGTTTGGACCAGACTCTGTGCTCAAAGATTTATAAAGAGTTTTATTTTAGAAAAGAGGCTTTGGCAGCCATGCCAAACATGCAGGTGCTGTTTACATGACATAAGAACTGATGAATAGCTAGGTGTGAAGAGTTATGGGCCTGGGGCCTGTGAGAGTCTCTATTTCCAGGAGAGCCTGGGGATGCAACCAGCAATTGTTCTATGTTGCTCTAATGGTGTATAGAATGGGGCCAGTGGAGGATAATTTGCATCAGAAATTCGTAGGCAACTTTTGGCTGCATGGGAGGTCCAGAGACTCTTAGAGGTCTTAGGGAAGTTTGCTAAAGTGTCTACAGTGAAGGAGAGTCTGGGGGCACTAATAGGATTGCCTGTTGTATCGCAATTTGGACAGACTCTAGAGCAGTTTCTTGTAAGAGGCCACATTCAAGGTGGGCTGATTTGTGAGTAACAGAAGAAATGGGCTTAAGTAAAATTTGTAAAGACATTATACATCGCTTCTAGAACCCCAAAAGGCCTACAAGATTCTGGGCTTGTTTTAATGTCATGAGTACTGAAAGGGTAAATAGTTGTTTCTTGATAGTGCCAAGGATGGAGCAACCCTTGACTTCCCAAATAATTTTTAGAAACTTAACAAAAGCGGAAGGGTCTTGTAATGTGTGTGGGGCAATGGTCCACCTCTTTGTGAGCTCCTTTGTGAGGATCTGTAGGTCCTGAATGAGTGTGTCAAATGATTTAGCAATCTCACTTCTGGGTATATATCCAAAAGCATTGGTATCAGGACCTTGAATAGATATCTGCACTCCTGTGTTCATCGCAGCATTTTCCACAATAACCAAAATATGGAGACAACCCAAGTGTCCATCAACACTTGGACAAGTGTCCTTGTCCATCAAGGTAAATGGATAAAGGAAATGTGGTATATGCATACACTGGACTATTATTCAGCCTTAAAAAAGGACGAAATCCTACTATTTGTGATAACATGGATGCACCTGTAAGACATTATACTTAGTGAAATAAGCCAGTCACAGAATGACAAACACTGCATGATTTCACTTATAAGGTACCTAAAACAGTCACAAAGTATAGAAGATGACAATAGAATGTTGGTTTTCGGGGGTTGGGGGTAGGAGAACATGAGGAGTTGTTATTCAGTGGGTGTAAAGTTAGACTTACACAAGATGAGTATGTTCCAGAGACCTGCTGTAGAACAGAGTGCCTATAGATAACAAGAAGGTATTGTGTACTGGAAATTTGTTAAGAGGGTAGATCTCATCTTTCTTACCTTGCATACACACACGCACACACACACACGCACACGCACACACACACGCACACACACACACTAAAAGGGCACAAGAAAACTTTTAGAGGTGATGTTTGGTAATAAACATTACCTAGATTGTGGTGAAGGTAACACAAGTGTGTACATATGTTCAAACTCATCTATTTGTATTTATTAATTATGTACAGTTTTTAATATCAATTATACCTTAGTAAAGCTGGAGGGGGCAAGTCAAACATCAAAAATGGAGTCAGACTCTCTATTACAGGGAAGGTTAAAACCCCCTGCCCTTTCTTAGCCCAAAGAAGGCTCTGGCTGCTCCTTGGTATGAGCTCTGACAGAAAATCTTCAGCTAAAAGTCATGTATGTAGCCTTCCTGAGTCATGTAAATGCAGCTAAATGCAGCGTCAACAGGGTCCTTCAAGGCTTAGAAAGACTAATCAGAAAGGTACTTTACTCCTGCTTGAGAAAAGGCAAAAGTTAGTTGCTGAGAGGTGGGACAAAGTCTTGGTCTATGGTGGTGGGCACACGAGTGGGTCCTGCTCAGCCTCCATGGTTGTGCCACGCCCGCGGAAGTGGCCCTGCGTGGACCAGAAAGTGATTTCTCAGAGCTCTGGTAATAACTGTAGTAGTGACTTCTTAGGAAGTTGCCAGTGAGCGTGTCCAAGGACTTGGCTTTTTCCCGCTGTAGGGAAGGGCTCTGGAGCAGCTGCACGGGGACCTCAGCTTTCACCGCCATGCCCAGGCCTTGGCCTTCAGGGATAGCCTTGTCACCCTTACCCTCCACCATAGACTGCAAGAAATTCATGAGCACCTTCAGACCACCTTTGCTGCTTCACCTCCCTACTCTTTGTCCTTAGAAGAGAGACCTAGACTCCTAACCCACGTGACTCCGTGGGGTTGCTGTAACACTGCCCACCACAGCCAGAACCTCTTCTGCCTCAAGCCTACTGCTCTCCCACGTCTGCCATGGGCCAAGGGCTGGGGAGCAGTGAGGGCAGAAAGAGCTCTCACTTGGAGGGCGCTGGCCAGACTTACGTGGGAGAGAGGGCACTTCCTGGGTGTGACTCTTGGAAAGGGCAACTGCTACTCATGACTCAAGAGTCACTCATGGCTGCAACAGAACTTGTAACCTAATCTGGCTTCTGCACGCCAGAAAGATTCCCTCAGCAGACAGAACATCCCACCTCAGTCAACACATACAACTGGGACAGGCTAGCTTTAATTCCTCTTCCTCGAGACAGTAGTGACCTTAATATACTCAGGATCCCGTGGATACATAATGGAGGGAGCTGGAGCTCAGAGAGGGTAAGTGTGGACTTCTGTGCCCTCCTGTTACTGATATGTGAGCGCCGGGGCCTTGGACCAGCTGAGCCATTTGTGTCATGACTAGTTTGGAGGGACCATTCCCATTCAGCTAATCTCATCCATCTCTTCTCAGTCTATCTCCATGGACCCATGTCAGGGTGTACAGCTTTTACTGAGGGCATGCTCTGCCTGGCAGCATGATGAAAGTACTGATAAAACTGTCTCCTGGACTGGACAAGCAGCAGGAAGTTGTGGGATGTGGACAAGAACAGACATAAGGAAGAGCCTTGAATTTGGAAGGAGGCTGACCTGGATAGCTCAGGTACAAATGGGCACTATGCTGACCCCACTGATGTAGGTCCTGAAGGTGACCTCTTCAGATCATATCGAGGGGAGCTGAAGGGACTGGGATGCTTCAGCCTGAGGAAGCAGTCCACAAGACACCTCCCTCATGAAGTCTTTCCTGATTGCACCAGCCAGAAGTGACCTCTCCCTCCTCTGAACTTCATTTTATCTTTTTTTTCTACATAAAGTTTTCGGGCATTTTAGCCTCGTGATGACACAGCTCCATATTGGGTCTCTACCCATCAATGTGAATGTGATTCCCTAGGACATGGTTCCCTAGAATCTTTTGAACTTTAGGTCTAGAGACGTTTCAGCTCTAAATTTTTAAACCCAACTGTACTGACAGCTCCCTTTGTGTATCTCAAGTCATCTCACGCTCAATAGGTTCAACATTGAGCACCTAAGCCTGGTCTTCCTTGAGTGTCTCCCACCCTATAGTCAATGATGCATCCATGCTATCATCCTTGACATCTTTTTCTACCTCAAGTCCACAGCCAACCCATCAGTGAGTCTTGCCAATTTTATTTTTTAAATATCTCTTAATGACATTAGATTTACAAATATCTTTTACCTATTTATTTGCTCAAGATTTCTTCTTTTTCCCACTCCCTTATGTCTGTTATTTCTTCAAAGTGTTTATTTTTGCATTATAGGCTTGATTCCTTCCTTAATCCTTTTGAGCAGTTAGTCCACACATGTACCCTGATGTGGAAGTCTCCCCATGAATCAATTTAGTATTTGCCCCAGCTTGGGTCTTTATAAGCGCCACCTGTTTTTAAGATAGCTTCTGGGCTCTGATTTCTAGCATGTAGTTAGAATTCACATCCACACCCACACACAATGAAGGCTTGGATTCCAATTTCTCACATCCCTCTCATGGAACAGGGCAGGTTGCAACCTCCATGCTGGTTTCCCATGACAGAAGACAGACATTTTCTTACCCTAATTCACCCAGCCTCTTATCTTTTTGCAGCATCCCTACAAGCTCAAGGCCACGCTTACACTTCACCCCCACTTACAGACGTGTAACATTGGCCTCTAAGGTATATTTCTGGTTCTGATAACCCACTGGGACACCAGAACTTCAAATTCCACTCAGCTCTTCAACACTGAGTTCCCTTTTGTTTCTGAACTTAAGTGGCATAATTAAAACATTTTAATTACATTTAATCAAGTTTTGTGTGTGGTTAGGCTGTAAGGAGGAACTCCTGAGTCAGTTCATGTGCCTTCTCCTCTGGAGGATTCCAAAGTATTTTTTCCACTCCTGTAATCATTGCTCCCACACCCTCCAACACTTGGGGCTGAGACAGCCATGCTTAAGGCAGAGGCCAGAACCCCGCTGAGAATGTGCAAATCCGTGTTCATCTTTTGACTTCCAAAATAGGCAAGAGCCGTATTTTATTGACAGAACAAAAGAGATTTGTGTGCTCCCAAACCAAGATTGTAGACTAAGAGAAGCGAGTTCATTTGGCAAGTCACAAACTAAAAAGATGCCAGGTAGGACATGAGGGCGGTTTTATATATCTTTCTGAAATTAAGTAATCATTAAAAATGCATAAAGGGGGCTTCCCTGGTGGTACAGTGGTTAAGAATCCGTCTGCCAATGCAGGGGACACAGGTTTGAGCCCTGGTCCGGGAAGATCCCACATGCCATGGAGCAACTAAGCCCGTGCACCACAACTCCTGAGTCTGTGCTCTAGAGCCCACGAGCCACAACTACTGAGCCCGCGAGCCACAACTGCTGAAGCCTGCATGCCTAGAGCCCGTGCTCCACAACAAGAGAAGCCACCGTGATGAGAAGCCCACGCACCGCAACGAAGAGTAGCCCCTGCTCGCCGCAACTAGAGATAGCCTGCATGCAGCAATGAAGACCCAATGCAGCCAAAAATAAAATAAATAAATTTATTTAAAACAAAATGCATAAAGGATGAGACTGTAATTAAAACTTAAACAGAATGTGACATGCCATTCCCTCGGGGCTCAACAGAAGAGGCTATGTGGCAGGGGTGAGGAACCAGCCAGGTGATAGGAATTCCAGATAAGATGAGCCGGAATGCAAAACCAGAAGCAGCTTCGGTCCTACTTCCTTCTTCTTTGGGAGGGTAGTACCGCCTCCTAGGGAGTCATGTTTAGTAAACTGGGCCATGTGTGTTTGTGTGTTTGGGCTTTAAAGGGCCTCGAGAAGTGCTACAAGTTCCCCTTAGCTTGTGTTCCATGTTGGGGAGGTTCAGACGTTCTCGTGGGCTCCTATAGGGGACATGAGGTGCTGAGAGGGGCCATGGGCCAGAAGGTGCCTGAGTTCAGAAATAAGAAAGGTCAGAGTGCAGCGACCTCACTACAGAGGAGGCCGTGGCAGGGACCAAGGACGTCACCAGTGTCGCCCACACTAGCCCAAGACAAGCAGGAACAGACACATCAGCAGCAGATGCAGCAGAAGGTAGAGAGTGAGACCAAAAGACCAGGGCAGATTTCCTTGGCAAAGGCCCACAAGGATCACAGAGAACAGCAAAATAAACTGAGCTCTCTTCCCCACTCTACAGGGACAGGGAGTGAAGAAGGAGCAGTAGGGAAGATGGAAGGTGGAGGCAACAGGAAGGACCTTCCTTGACTCATCCTGTTGTGGAGATCTAGCACTTGGGTTCTCTGGGTATGGTAGCATTTAGGCTACTGGTTCTTTTTCTCACGGGGCATTTTCATAGTTTCCTTGGATACCTCTCCTCTCCCATGCTGGGGATCTCACCCACCCTGTCACAGGTGACACTCTCAGAATGACCACCTATATTTTTCTCTATGGTTGCTGGTTTTGGCTGGTCCATTTCCACATGGACCAGCCAAGATTCTCTTTGTTGGGAATCTGTTGCCTCTCCAGATGCCCTTCTTGTCAAAGTTCTTTTAAGGCCCTACTTCTAGTTGATAAAAATCATGTTCATTTCACTCATCAATGCCTTTGCAATGTCTTCCCTATTGGCAGCCAATATTTTACTACTATAGGCTGTTTCTGAAGCATTTTATCCCTTCAGTTTCTCAGGTATAAGTGAGACACTTGTCCAGTGCATCCCCAAGCTGCAGAGGACACACATCAAGTTCTCAGAATCGTCTCACTGAAGCCCCTATCACCATGTTGAGGTGAGAGGTAGGCACCCATCAGGTTAGAAAGGGACTCAAAGCCACACAGCTCTCTCCAAATAAAATCTCTTTCTGCTTATCTCCAAATCCTAAACTTTGTATGTCTTCAGTTTGGGTGAGAGAGGGTTAAGACTCTCAAATCAGTTTTCAGAACCTTCTTTAAAAATTCTACCCATGGGAAGTATTTGCCCAAGAAGTTTCATTATACCCTCTGTGCTATGGAGATTGTGAAGGTTCTGGTAATGCATGTGGAGGGCAAGCAGGTGTGATTTCAGCCGTGTGTGGTAACAGTTGGGGGTACGGGTAGTGAAGAGAGTTGATAGACTGGCTGCCTTCCCTTCTCTAAAACTGAGATTCAGTATCACTTTCTGATTATATAATTTTGCAAACTATTTCACGTCTCTAGGCCTCAGTTTCTTTGGCTGTGAAATGCCCTGCCTTCCCAGCTGACTGCTCAGAAACTACATGATAGTGGGTGAGTAACATGCTCTACAAATACAATAATAAGCTTTTTTTCCCTCCTGCCCCAGAGCCTGTGCCCCTTTCCTAGATCCTGGCCGACTAAGTATCCATCACACCAGGATGGTGCAATGTCACCCTGGAGTGCAGGGCCACAGAGGACCTGAAGGTGACCTGGGTAAGCAAGGGCCTCCCCAGGGAGCTAGAACAGAGGAACACTGGGACCAAGCTCTGAGCCTGCCCCTAAGCCAGACTGACTCCAGCCTCACCTGTGTGGTCAACAACCATGTGGACCAGAAAACTACCACCTTAGACCTTGGGGAACTCTCTTGGGATTAAGAGCGTGCCTGGCAAAGTGAGTGTGCCCACCTCTGTGGACATTCATTTCCCAGGAGATTGGGGGTATGGTAGGTTGGTGCTCATCATTGTCAAGTAGTATGATTCCAACCTCCCCAGCCCTTGGGACAGTACCAGATGAGATGGGAATCAGAGATAATAAAGGTTGGCATATGACCCAGGAAATTATGGGAGGAGGTACGACGGCTGTACCAGGCACTGATGTTTACCTCTGCTCTGCTCTAAATCCCACTTGAAGGGCCACTGAGTAGACAAGGAATCATATTTGTAATGAGCAAATAAGGAGAGGTAGGTTTTGACTCATGATATTAGAGGAGAGTTTTCTATAGTCAGTCATCCAAAACTGGAATAGATGCTTTGGGGCACAGTGACCTCATGTCACTGGTGGAGTGTAACTACAGGTAAAATCACTTGGTGGGTAGTTATAAAGCTCAGAATGGGGTCAGACTCCCTAATGAGTTTTCTTCCAACATGGACATTCTTAGATTCTAGGAAAACTTCTTGGCAAAATCAGATTATTTTGAGCCCTAAAGTCCCAGTTTCTCCAGAACCATCAGCTGGAGTAGAGTGCCTTCTGTTGAGGTGATACACCACAGGGAGCATGGCCAGCCCAGGATCCATCACCCCGAAGCTTCTCACGCCCTCTCTGTTTCTGACCCAACAGAGACTACAACTCTATTCTTATTTCCATTATTGTGGACGATACTGGCAAAAGCTCTTCTGTTCCTCAGCCTCCTTGGGAAGCTGGAAATGGAGCTCACCAAGGAAAATCTCCAGCAGAAGAAGGGAAATTACAAGTGTCCAAGCAGGCTGGACAACTAGGTTGGGACTTTATTTCCTTTTTCATGCTTTGTCAAGTTTTCTGAATCATAAATGAATGCTTTCTATCTTCTGCCAAGTTAAAAAAAAAATTGCTAGCACAAAAATTATCTATTCTTTAAAGATGTGAGGAATTCACATTAGGCTTTGTGAATAGGCTTTGCCTTTTATGTCATCAAAGGAGAAAACACTTATGTAAGTTTTATAATATTTTCTATGTTCATTTTTAAAGTTTATACACACATGTAGATCAATTTTATCAAATCATATTTTTCTAGAAATTGTCCATTTAATAAAGATTTAAAATGGAATAGACATTAATTATGCACTATATTCTCTTAAGAGTTTTTCTTGTTATTATTGTTGTTTGGCTGTTTTAAATATGAGAGGATCTTGCTGAAAGGGTAAGTGATAAATTAGGTGATGTTTCCAGCCCTGAGAGCCACAGAATTCCATTAACCAGTTTATAGCTTTTCTCTTTTAGTCTATTTGCAAAAGCTATTTGGTGGCTCACCTGGTGGCAGGTGGTGTATTGAGGGAGTGTCTTCACCCTCCACATCCTCTACTACAATTTGGAAATGACAGAAATAAGGGTAGATGTTTTGGAGGGATTTTTTTTTTACTTTTGGAGATTAAATAAAACACTATATATCTGGATCACGGGAGAGATATAGTAATTCCAGTTGAGATCAAGGCAAGTCTTAATCTCACATATGCACGTGACCAAAGAAAGAATGTCAATCAGAAGGATGGTTAATAAGAAATGTGGCGTAAAGGGAGATGAGTGACAGAGGCAAAGGAAGTGCTCCAACAGGCTGGCAGGAGAATCCCATGCCCCGGGCAGGTAAGTCCTACCACGGATATGGAGAGCTCAGATGAGAAGGCCACTGGGATCCATTCCGGCAGCATCTGCTTACCTGCCCTGACTCAGGGCTTCCCATGTGGTCCAGTGGTAACTCGGCTTCCAATGTGGCCTATCTTTGGGAAGAGGATGCCCTGGTCAAGCTAACAGGGATATCTAGCCCAGTTAGCAAGTGTACTTCTCACTGTAAATTAATAAATAAGCATTCTGGTTTTGTTTACCAGTGTCTTTTAACATTTATTATCAAGATTTTGCATCCCCAAGGCAAAAGGGCAATGGATGAAATGGAGATTCTGGGTTTTGGCTAAGAATCTACATGTCAGACTCTGAACACATGGTGAACACATCAAAGTACAGTTGACCCTTGAACCAGATGAGTTTGAACTGCGCAGGTCCACATATATGCTGATTTTCTTCAACAGACGTGTACAACAGTACTGTATGATCCATGGATGTTTGAACCCGTGGAGGTGGAACTATGAATACAGGGGGCTGATTGTAAAGTTATATGTGAATTTTTTTTTTTTTAACATCTTTATTGGGGTATAATTGCTTTACAATGGTGTGTTAGTTTCTGCTTTATAACAAAGTGAATCAGTCATACATAAACATATGTTCCCATATGTCTTCCCTGTTGCATCTCCCTCCCTCCCACCCTCCCCATCCCACCCCTCCAGGCTGTCACAAAGCACCGAGCCAATATCCCTGTGCCATGCGGCTGCTTCCCACTAGCTATCTACCTTACTGCGTTTGTTAGTGTGTATATGCCCATGACTCTCTCTCGCCCTGTCACAGCTCACCCTTCCCCCTCCCCATAACCTCAAGTCCGTTCTCTAAGAGGTCTGCGTCTTTATTCCTGCTTTACCCCTAGGTTCTTCATGACATTTTTTTCTTAAATTCCATATATATGTGTTAGCATACGGTATTTGTCTTTTTCTTTCTGACTTACTTCACTCTGTATGACAGACTCTAGGTCTATCCACCTCATTACAAATAGCTCAATTTCGTTTCTTTTTATGGCTGAGTAATATTCCATTGTATATATGTGCCACATCTTCTTTATCCATTCATCCGATGACAGGCACTTAGGTTGTTTCCATCTCCGGGCTATTGTAAATAGAGCTGCAATGAACATTTTGGTACATGACTCTTTTTGAATTTTGGTTTTCTCAGGGTATATGCCCAGTAGTGGGATTGCTGGGTCATATGGTAGTTCTATTTGTAGTTTTTTAAGGAACCTCCATACTGTTCTCCATAGTGGCTGAACCAATTCACATTCCCACCAGCAGTGCAAGCGTGTTCCCTTTTCTCCACACCCTCTCCAGCATTTATTGTTTCTAGATTTTTTGATGATGGCCATTCTGACTGGTGTGAGAAGATATCTCATTGTAGTTTTGATTTGCATTTCTCTAATGATTAATGATGTTGAGCATTCTTTAATGTGTTTGTTGGCAGTCTGTATATGTTCTTTGGAGAAATGTCTATTTAGGTCTTCTGCCCATTTTTGGATTGGGTTGTTTGTTTTCTTGTTATTGAGCTGCATGAGCTGCTTGTAAATTTTGGAGATTAATCCTTTGTCGGTTGCTTCATTTGCAAATATTTTCTCCCATTCTGAGGGTTGTCTTTTGGTCTTGTTTATGGTTTCCTTTGCTGTGCAAAAGCTTTGAAGTTTCATTAGGTCCCATTTGTTTATTTTTGTTGTTATGTCCATTACTCTAGGAGGTGGGTCAGAAAGGATCTTGCTTTGATTTATGTCATAGAGTGTTCTGCCTATGTTTTCCTCTAAGAGTTTGATAGTTTCTGGCCTTACATTTAGGTCTTTAATCCATTTTGAGCTTATTTTTGTGTATGGTGTTAGGGAGTGATCTAATCTCATACTTTTACATGTACCTGTCCAGTTTTCCCAGCACCACTTATTGAAGAGGCTGTCCTTTCTCCATTGTACATTACTGCCACCTTTATCAAAGATAAGGTGTCCATATGTGCATGGGTTTATCTCTGGGCTTTGTATCCTGTTCCATTGATCTTATATGTGAATTTTTGACTGCTCAGGGGGTGGGAGCCCCCTATGTTGTTCAAGAGTCAACTGTAATGCCAAACTGTAGGGCTTTGTCATTCACTCATTCCTTCACTCAATCAACATTTACTGGACTACATAACATACTAGCACACACTGAGAAACATCTTGGAAGACAAATTCACAGCCTTTCTTTGCCATGTGCGTTCCCATTTGGATTTTATGAAGAGTTCATGTAGGCCCAAGGTTTCAGTTCTCAAGCCTGATCATGAATCAGAATCATCTATTGAGTTTTTAAAAAATATAGATGGTGCCCAGTTTCAGGATAGAGTCCAAGTATCTGTTCCTGAAAGCTCTCCAGTTGATCTAATGAACAGCCCAGATTGTAAGCCATTCACGGGGAGTATCCATTTGGATCAATCAGACCACTTTGCCTGTACTATATAGACAGATCTACACATATTTGGGGTTATTTCAATAAAGATCCTGAAGGCATCAATCAATACAAAAGAAAATGAAAAATAAGCATAAGTACGTTAACTGGTTTAGATGATAAACTTCCTGTTGGTGTATATGTGGCTTTATCTATCTGAAGCACAGCTCTGATCATGTCACTGTCCTGCTAAAAATTTTTAATAGGTAATTTTTTTGATTAGTGTTATAAAGAAACTGATGATACAGAAAAAGAGACCGCAGAAGATAACCATTGTTAACTTCTTAACCTACTAGCTTTTAGACTATTTTATGCCCACATAAACATATTTATATATATTTACAATATAGGATAACACTATGCATGTTCCATAACTCATTTAATATTTCATGGGCAACTTTCCATTCAAATATATAAAGATGTAATTTGTAACTTATTCTCCTTATTACATAAATAGTATTCCCTCATGTGGAGAGAGTATACTTTATTTAATTGGTATACAGTGGTCAAGAGCTTTAGAATCGAACTCCAAGATTTCAATTCCAGCTCTGCCACCTATTAGTTATGTGACCTTGAGTAAGTTCATTAATTTATCAGTGTTGCAGTTTCCTGGGAATAATAATGGTATTTGCATAATAGGACTGCAGTTTATACTTTGAGGCCTCAATACCCACCTGTCTTTAAACTACAGCCCAGAATAAATGTACCCTGTCACACAGCCTTGTGAAAGTACTATGGAGAAAAATACACCATGGAGGAGAGAGGAGAGCACCAGGAAGTGTTTGCGGTTTTATATAGGGAGGTCAGGGTGGGTCTTGCTGAAGAGTTAACATCTGTACAGAGACCTGAAGGAGGTGAGGGGACGAGACATGTGGATATCTAGAGGGAGAGAATTCTAGAGAGCAAAGGCCTTGAGGAAGGAGCATGCATGTAGTATTGAAGGAATGGCAAGGAGCCCAGTGTCCTAGAGGGGATTAGGAAGGAGGGGAGCATGGGAGATGAGGTCAGCTGATACAGGGCCTTCCAGATAAAGTGGGCCCATGGGGTAGTTCTGAGCTAACGAGTAATGTGACACAACTTAGGTTCTGAAAAGATAAATCTGGGTGATATTGTGAAAATAGACATTAAAGGATTAAAGACAAAAGTAGGAGACTCGGAGGCTACTGCAGTAATCCAGGTGAGAAATGATGACCCTATTGGACTAGGGAGGTGGTGAGAGGTATTTTATTATAAGTATAATTTTTTCATATAGGTATATGAAAATAAGTATTTGAATATATATAGAATGAAAAGATATCAGTATTTTCTAAGAGAGATAGAGGGTGGGGTGTGAGAAAAATAATGAAGTCAAGAATGACACCAAGGTTTTGTGGCCAGAAAAAATGGAAGGATTGAGGTGACATTTGGAGGGATCAGAAATTGTATAGGAAGCATGTTTGGGGAGTTTGAATTTAGATATGTCAAGATGGAGATGCTTGTTATACACGCAAGTGGAGATGTCAAGTAAACAGTTGGATATTTACAATGTGGAGTCCAGGGGAGAGATCACATCTTTAAGTCCCTTTTGCCACATAAGGTCATGTAGTCATGGGATTACTGCATGGCCATAACATCAAAAAGAAATGAGTGTAGACAGTGAAGAGATGTGGTCTGGGTGGTCTGGGTATGAACCCTGGGTTATTCCAAAATTTAGAAGTTGGAGATATCGGAAAGATACTGATAAAGGAAATTAAGGAGCAACCACCCAGTAGGAGGAAAATAATGTGAATAATGAATGCAAAGTGAAAACAGTGTTTCCAGAAAATATAGGTCCACTGCGGCTGAGAAGTTATGGGAAATGAGGATTGAGAATTGACCACTGGATTTAACAACATGAAGTTCCCTGGTGACTGGACAAAAGCAGACTCAACAAAGAGGTAGGGGCAATGGATGACAAGAGACAATTCAAGAGAGAAAGAAATTTCTTCAAATAAAGTATACAAATGGTCAATATGCTCATGAAAACATGTTCATCATGAATCATTTGAGACATGCAATTCATAACCACAATGAGATACCACTTCACCAGCACTAGGATGGCAACAATCAAAAAATAACAAGAGTTGGAGATGATGTGGAGAAATTCTCATACATTGCTGGTGGAAATGTAAAAATGGTGCAGCTGCAGGTGTAAGATGGGAATGAAAGAATAAGAGGAGAATGGAGTACAAGAAGCTTTATGAAGGATAACCCAATGGAAGACGGTAACTTGTTGGATATCTGGGATGATAGAGAGAAAGGAATCACAGTGTGTGAAATTATTATCCCCTGATATGCCTACATCACTTACACTTGGGAGAACTTCTGTAGGGTACTTAACATCTCTGGATTTTAATTTTCCATTTGTACATTGAGGATATCTGCCTCACATAATTGTTGAATGAAGTTATGAATAACAATGGAAAAGGAAGTTGGCTTGAGAACAGGGATGCTGAAATCCACAATACACATTGAATGAGAGGAAGTAACTCTCACAAGACCCAAGAGGAAGAAGGATCTCTGTTTTTTGTTTTTTTTTTTGCAATACGCTGGCCTCTCACTGTTGTGGCCTCTTCCGTTGCGGAGCACAGGTTCCGGACGTGCAGGCTCACAGACCCAGTTGCTCTGCAGCATGTGGGATCCTTCTGGACCGGGGCACGAACCCGTGTCCCCTGCATCGGCAGGTGGACTCTCAACCACTGTGCCACCAGGGAAGCCCCAAAGCATCTCTGCTTTGAATGTCTCATCTGAGCCAGAGGGCAGGGTCTCTCAGTCCATGTCTCCCACCCATATCTCCTACCCCACTGTCCACTTAAGGGACAGTTTCTCTTTCAACCACCAACTGCTCCATCCATCATCAGGATGAACTCATTCCAAGTTGGGGCACCTGAGTCAGAAGACCGGGATCCTTGGAAGAGGAACAAATGGAGGATATTCTCCTCCGAATACTCCAGGATTACGAGGTCTTCAGTGACCATGTGGCAAAGGATAAGATATGAATGCTGGAATTGTCCAGTGTTGGATTTAAGGCTTTGCTCTGCCACCAACTATTTTGGGACATTGGTTACTTGTCCTGCAAAATGGGGATAAGTAATACCTACCCTAGAGAGTTCTTATAAGAGTAAGAAGAAATGATCTTTATAAAATGCCTGGGACAAAACCTGGTTCATGATAGACTTGGAAAGTCAAGTTCCCTTCCTCTTTCATTTTTTTTCCTCTTCTGCTTTAGGTGGGGGGGAGGGGTCAATGGGTGGTCACATCTTACAGTGCTTCTGGACTGATGGGCACTGATACCCAGCCATGACCGGTCACCTGGGATGCCAGTGAGAGATGTCATCTTTTTCCTTCTCAGCCTTCTGTTCAGCCTGAGCAGAAAGAGGTTAGAAAGAGCCTTATTATGGAAACTCTGCTCCTCTCTTATTCATGCACCATCTAGCGGGATCCTAGCATAACGTTCAGTCCTTTAGCCCAGAACTTGGCTTTCTGAGGTCAGAAGTGAAGCAGCTGAGCTTGCTGAGCTGGGAGGGGAACCAAGAGACCCATGAATCTAGGCCAGCAGACAAAGAACCACAGATCATAGTATCAGAGTGAGTCCATTTCTGATTCAAGAGCTGGGACTCAAGGCAGAAGGCGGAGGCTTTGAGGAGGTGAGGACCCCCAGGGAGAGGAGAAGCTTCCCACAATACAGTGCAGGCTATATTAGGTCCTCAGGCAACGTGAAGCTGGATGTGGGTTGGGGAAACCAGGCAGTGTCATTGGAGTTCATCATGTCCTCTTTGCTTCCTTGTGGAGTCACTACCAGAAAGACCTTCAGCAGCCTCTGTGCTCTGGGTCTTGTCTGCTCCCAACTCTCTGTGGGAGTTGGGAGTAAGGGTAGCTCAGACACTTCACAGAGAGAGGTGCTTGTCTCCTTGGCACCAGCCCCCTAAAGCCCCAACGCCCTCCTGAGGGAGCCCCAGGTGAGGCTAGCAGGGAAGACTCATGACCAACCCAAAGCAAACCTACGGCAGGGGCCTTGATTATGTCCAAGTTGTCTGAAAAGGACAGATGTGGGAGAAGAGACTATTTTCAAACCTATGGGAACATGTAGAACATGTGACTTGGAAGGGGGTTTTGGGCTGGAATGGTAGGATTCCAACACACAGCGATGGGAGGAAGGGATAGGGAAAGGGAGCCGCCATTTCAGGCAGAGGGATGTGAGTGAGCAAAGAGGAGGCTGACCTAGGATCTGAGGCCAGCGGGGCCGTGGGGTGCTGAGGGTCAGTAGAGGAGGCAGGAGAGGGTTGGCTCAGACCTTCCTACAAGCCTCACCCCTCACCCCTCATAGCAGCCTCATCAAGGGGAGGTGGGAGAGGCACACTGCACTTCCATTCTAATGACCAAGTTCCCCTACCCCAGACAAGGAAGGGCTGAGGCTGCTTTCCTAAGAACACAAGTCCCAACTTGGGTCCCTCTCTGAGAAACAGAAGTCTCAGAAGGTCCAGAAACAGTACAAATTCCTTTTCCCACTCTGCAAGAGGTGGATTTGAGGTCTACGAGCTGAAGCTGAGGTTAGTACTAGTGGTCAGAGAAAAGGGCTGTGGCCCAATGTATAATATACACTGGATACTCCCCCAACATACACACAGACACACACACAAACACACCGCTCGACACAAACCTTTTGCCCTATACAGGGTGCAAAGGAAGCCTCAGGCCAGCCCTCTGTGGGATCCCACCTACCCATGCTGCCTCCACAGACCCCCAACTCAGTTTCCAGCATCAAGGTCCTAACCCCTTCCTCTGCGGCATGGTCAATATCTTCTACGCAGTCCCCATGCCTGGGCTGTGTTCTCAGAAAGACATATACCAGCCATACAGCAGAGGCTGTGGGAATTATCATGTGCAGGAAGGTTCTCTTTGGGAAGCTTCAGGAGGGGAGTGGTCAGGATATGAGTTAATGATGGAAAAAGAGCCCTCATCTTGCAGGGTGAGGATCCTGAGTGGGAAGGCAGCTTGGAGAGGTGACAGGGGATACGACAAGGCCACGTATGCCCAGGGAGTTGAGGGCAGGAGGGTCAAAGTAACACAGACCAGGGCAGCTGGAGCTGGACCAGGGCTGAGAGATGCAGGTGTCTGCAAGGATCAAGCTCCGAGTGGAGGTGCCCTAGGAGTTCCAGTTCTCCTACCTCCTCCAATTAAATTATCTTCATGGCTTCACTTTCTGGCTTATGGACCTCACTGTAGACAGTATTAACAGGCTCCTTTTCTTCTAAATGTCGCTCACCAATACCCTAGGAATGCAAGACAGAGAGTTCCTAGAACAGCTGAGAGAAGCCCCAGAGGGACCCACATGGAACCAATGCTGCTGACATGAGTTGCATGTGAATTCCCCCAAAGCGCCCAGCACTGCACTGGCCCCAGTTATAAATTTTCTCAGTAAATACCACTGACCACCTGGAAAGAGTTAAAGAGACAGCAGGGCCAGGAAAGGCAGATGACTGGGTTGACGGGCCCAGACCCAGGTGAGGACAGACCCAGGAGAGCCCAGACTGGGCACAGCTCCCAGCTCTCACCTTGCGTGTGCCCTTTCGAGACTCCTGCTGGCTCAGCTCTGCGTACTGGATGCCACTATCATTGTCCCTGTGGTCCTCCTGCAGTTCTGTACCTGAGTCATACACAGAGTGGAGCTTGAACCTGGGCCTTGAAAACCCTTACGCTCCCCCACTGTTATGAACCCCAAGGCCAAGGCCACACCCACCATTCCCTCTGCAGAGAGATTCCTTGAGGAGCAACATGCAGAAGGAAAGGAGCCAAGGGTCCAGTGGGGGAGGGGAGGTATCAGGGCAGGAGGAAGAAGTGCAACCTGCCTCTTCCAGTCTCCATTTTCTTCTTCTTCCCACGTGTCTTCCAAAGGTACAGTCCTCCTCCAAGGATCAACAGCACAGCCACGACAGCCCCTAGGATGCCTGGCAGGGGGTCAGCAATGACCTGTCCTTGTGAATCTGTTTCCCTCACACAGAGACAATGAAGAAAGTTAAGGCAAGACAGAACCTAAAATACCCATTGCCAAGGGGAGATAGAGAGAGAGCAGGTGAAGAGCTCTGAAGGATCCAGGTTCAGAAGCTGAAGAGGGTGGAGCATGTCAGGTTCATCCATTCAACCAGGTCCTGAGCTCCTGCTTGGTGCCAGGGGTACTGCGATGAGCAAGATGGGGTCACCCAGGGGGGGAAGACTGAGAAAATACCAAAGTCTGCCAGCTAGAGGGACTGCAGTGCAATAGAGGTTTACACCTTGTACACATGTCTTCAGGGAGGGCCTCCCAGAGGAGGTGATGCATAAACTGAGTCTTGAGGGAGGAATAGGAGTTAACTAGATATTCAGCATGGGCACAGAATTCCAGGAAGGAGGGGCACCACATTTGAGGAATGACTGTGCCAAATCGCCAGCCCTGGGAGCTGCCATCATCCCACTGCAGCAGGGAGGAGCCAGGTGAGGAGGATCAGAGGGAGAAGAGTCTCTTTCCAGAGGGTTTTTTTTTTTTTTTTTTTTGCGGTACGCGGGCCTCTCACTGTTGTGGCCTCTCCCGTTGTGGAGCACAGGCTCCGGACGCGCAGGCTCAGCGGCCATGGCTCACGGGCCCAGCCGCTCCGTGGCACGTGGAATCTTCCCGGACTGGGGCACGAACCCGTGTCCCCTGCATCGGCAGGCGGACTCCCAACCACTGCGCCACCAGGGAAGCCCTCCAGAGGGTTTTGTGGGTCATGCTGAGCACTGAACTTTATCTGAGACTCCAGGATGGGGCTGAGGGGAGGGTAATGTGGGATTTTAAGTGATGCTGACACATCAGTTCCTCCCAGCAGCTCATGGGGGATGGATGAGAGGGGCAAGACTACACTCAGGATACCGGGTCACTCATTCATTCAATGAAATCCTGAACTGTGAGCAAACAGTGCCAGGAGCTTTGCTTGGTACATGAATTCAAAGGAGAACAAGACATGACCTCTGCCCTCAAGGTGTTCCAGGCTACAGCGGAGACAAACCCATAAACAGCATTGCTATTTAGTGTGGGGTGGCTACGGACTGCTCCTTAAAGGGGATGATGCTTGAGGGCAGGACAGTTATAGCACCTGCAGGGCCCTGTGCCACATGAGATTGAGACACCCTTGTTCAAACTTTATTAATATCAGAACTATAACCAACCACAGGAACCTGTGTTACTGTGCTGGTCGCACGCCCATGACCTGAGGGAAATCCTTGAACAGGAATAAGCAAGGAAGTGAAGGACTCTTTTTTTCTTTTTTTTGCAGTACGCGGGCCTCTCACTGCTGTGGCCTCTCCCGTTGAGGAGCACAGGCTCCGGACGCGCAGGCTCAGCGGCCATGGCTCACGGGCCCAGCTGCTCCGTGGCACGTGGGATCTTCCCGGACTGGGGCACGAACCCGCGTCCTCTGCATCGGCAGGCGGACTCCCAACCACAGCGCCACCAGGGAAGCCCGGAAGTGAAGGACTCTTGACTTGGGATGGCTGATGGTAGAGGAAACAGCATTTCCAGAGGCTCAGAAGCTTATAATAGCAGAACACATTCAGGAGCTCCAAGCAAACAATTCCGTGCGAAGTGTATGAGGTAAGAAACATGGGCAGAGGAGCATCTGAGCCCTGAATCCTACAGGGACCCAGTGGGTCATACTCCTACAGATGACACAGATCAATTTCAAAATCCAATTTCTTTTCAAAAGATTACAGTGGACGCACTATGGATAATGGATGAGGTGGGGGAAGTACTGGAAAGCTATTGCCCTGGACCAGGTCTGACACTGCACTACAGCGTATGGGAAGGAAAGAGATGCCCAGCAGGCAGGCAGATAGGCACAGGCAGCAGGGAGCATGGGTCAGGGGAGGTGTGGGCCCTCAGGGAAATACATCTCTAGGGAACACCTCTGCGGGCTGCAGCCCTAGTTCTCCTCACCTCCCCCATCCCACCCCTGCTTTCCCTCCAGGACCAGCTGGGACTGGGAGCTGCTCATCTGGAGCTGGGTGGACAAGATTTGCATCAAAAACAAATCCCTGGGCTTCCCTGGTGGCGCAGTGGTTGAGAGTTCACCTGCCGATGCAGGGGACACGAGTTCGTGACCCGGTCCGGGAAGATCTCACATGCCGCGGAGCGGCTGGGCCCGTGAGCCATGGCCGCTGAGCCTGCGCGTCCGGAGCCTGTGCTCCGCAACGGGAGAGGCCGCAACAGTGAGAGGCCCGCGTACCGCAAAAAAAAAAAAAAAAACCCCAAAACACAAAAAAACAAATCCCTTGTTTCTTAGGGGAAAAAAAAGGGGGTGGAGAGGAGGGCATGGATGTGACAATTAAAAGCAGAGATGAGTTTTCTGTACCTCCCAGACTCCTGTATGGGGTGACCCGATGGAAAGTGGTGCTCATAACATAGTGGGGAGAAAAGCCCAGAACCCTCACCCCAGTGCAGCTGAGCTCCGAGAATGCCCCTCCCCTCTGGCAGGTACACTCACCATGGACACAGACTTCCCCAAGGTCTAAGGTGGCAGTTTTCTGGTCCACCTGGTTGCTGACCACACAGGTGAAGCTGGCACTGGGCTGCCTCAGGGGCAGGTTCACAGGCAGGGTCCAGGAGTTGGGGGCTGGTCCCAGTGTCACGCTCTGCTCCAGCTCCCTGGGGAGGCCCTTGCTCTGCCAGGTCACCTTCAGGTCCTCTGTGGCCCCTGAGGCTCTGCACTCCAGGGTGACATTGCACCAGCCTGGTGCGATGGACAGTAACTTGAACAGGATCTGGGGAAGGGGCACCGGCTCTAGGGTAAGAGGGACAAAAGAATGGAGCCTCACATGAGTGGAGAACAATACAGTCTGCACATTCTCATCCATCATCTCATTGAAACCCTGGCATCCTCCCTTTAATGATGGTGAATGCATTTTACAAGTAAAACACAATTTGCTCAATACTTACTACATAGCAAGTGACAATAAAGAAGGGAGACACTGAGTTAAGTCCTATGATATTTCACTAGATTGAGCAAGCCTTAAAAATCTCCAACAAGAAAATAAAACCTGGATACCACCTACCCAAGGCACATTATTTCTAAGAAAATGGGGTTTCCTCTGGAAGGGGAAGAAGTCTGGGACAGAAAGGCTAGTCCCAGATCAGGACTTGCCCTCTTCTGCTCAGATAATGCCTGGGTTTGCATAGCCCGTAGAGAAGGAGGACATCTGGCCAGCAATGGGAGCCCAGAGAAAGGCCCTGTGCTCCCAACAGTGGAGACATTTGCGGAAGATGCGGTGGTAGCAACTAGGAATGACGAGTCTGAGTCTGGTTAGAATATGCCGCTGAGCTTGAGAAGTGACATATTGATAACTTGGTCTTAGAAATCACACGGGGACCTAAAGCTATAACAGCCACTCTCTCACAGCAGGTATTTTCCTATGCAGACAGGGACTTTAGGGAAAGAAAGTGTTGGCTAAGTGAGGTTCTTTGGAAGTGTTGCAGTATAACCTTTCTCCCACGCCTATCGAGGCTTCTAGAGCTGGATTTGTGGAGTCTGCGAGTGAGGCTGGCCTTGGGCTGCTGAGTGAAAGGAGAGGAGGCACTAACTACGTGGGTTTATGAATTGTGGTGGGTGAATAATGGACCCCAAATACGTCCACGTCGATCCTCAGAACTTGTGAATATGTTAGGTTACGTGGTAAAATGGAGTTAAGGTAACAGGTAGAATTTAGGTTGCTTATCAGTTGACTTTAAAATAAGGAGATTGTTCTGACTACCTGGATGGGACCAATGTAATCACAAGCGTCCCTGAACGTGGAAGAAGGAAGAAGAGGAAGGAGGTTAGAGGGATAAGAATGTGAGAAGAATTGGTCCCACTATTGCCAGGTAATGTAAGCAACCACTAGAAGGTAGAAAAGACAAATAAATGAATCTCCTGGAAACTCTAGAAAGGAACACAGCCCTGCCAGCACCTCGACATGGGCCCAGTGAGACCCGTATTTGACTTCTGACCTACAGCACAGTGAGATCCTAAATTTGTGTTTTATTAAGCATCTAAATTATAGCAATTTGTTCTAGCAGCAGTAGACAACCAATACACAAATGAAGTAAATCTAGACCTATAAAGTACAACAACTGTTTCGGCAATATCATTTCCCCAAATTTCCATTCTCCTCTCCCAAAATACTGAAGTGGTTTATCCCTGCTGTGAATCTCAGCTCTGCTCACCATTTGCAGTAAACCCACTTACCCTCATTGCAGAGGAGAAAATAGAATCTGAAGGCTGGTGTCTGGAAGGAATCTTGAAAAATGGGACCTGTGTGAAACTCGTAGCACAAAAGAAGGAGGTAAGCCATGGCATGGGGTCAGATGCTGTCACTTACCATAGACGGTAAGGGGGAAAACTTGGTTACGTTCTATTCCTCCAGTGAAGCTGGCTCGAGCCCGGTACAGTCCACTGTCCTCAGAGGTCAGGTTCTCAATCTTCAGGGACAAGATGCTGGGCACATGGACCCTCTGCTGATACTTGTCCTGGAGGCTGACCCAAGTGGGAGCGTCTGCTTCAGCACCGACTCGCAGCAGGACTCTGTAATTTGAGTCAGGGCCAAAGCCCCATGTGACCTCCTCCAGGTGAGCTTCTTGCTTCCTGGTCACGTTAAACGATACAGAACCTCCTCGGACCCTGTGCAGAGGAACATGGACTCCAGAATCCTGAACTCCAGAACCATGTGTCCCAGAACTCTTGACCCCAGGGCAGCAGACGCCTAGGGCATTGGAAACAGGAAATGTATTTTTTTTTTCAGTAACAATAAAGGAGAAAACCACGAAACCCATCTTTTAAATGAAATTCATCCAATATACTCCCTTGATTCTTAGAAGGAAGCCTAGTAAAATGAATCTGAAGCAATTCTAGAATTAAGTCCTGGCTCTAGTGAATTGTAACCTTGAACAGGTTACTTAAACTTGCTAACCTGCAGTTTCCTCACCTGCTTCATAATGACAGTATAAACTGAATGAGATCATGGATCAAAAGCACCTGGCAGGGGCTTCCCTGGTGGTGCAGTTGTTAAGAATCTGCCTGCCAATGCAGGGGACATGGGTTCGAGCCCTGGTCCGGGAAGATCTCACATGCCGCGGAGCAACTAAGCCCGTGTGCCGCAACTACTGAGCCTGCGCTCTAGAGCCCGTGAGCCACAACTACTGAGTCTGTGTGCCACAACTACTGAAGCCCGCATGCCTAGAGCCCGGGATCCGCAACAAGAGAAGCCACCGCAATGAGAAGCCCGTGCACCGCAAGGAAGAGTAGCCCCCCCTCGCTGCAACTAGAGAAAGCCCACGCGCAGCAACGAAGACCCAACACAGCCAAAAATAAAATAAATAAATTTATCAAAAAAAAAAAGCACCTAGCAGAGTTTCTGTCAAACCAAATTCATAACTGTAGGAGGAGCTTCTTAAGTGTCTCCTCACATTCACATCCTTGTGTAATGCCCTCCCATAGAGTGTGGGCTGCACCTAGTGACTGGCTTCTAAGGAATGGACCACAGCAGACTTGATGAATGTCACTCAGTGATACTAGGTTATAGGAGACTGTGACTTCCCTCTTGCTCTCTCTCTCCTTCACTCCCTCTCTTGCTCGCTCTGAGAAACCCAGCTGCCGTGTTGTCAGCTGTCCTAAGGAGAGGCCCACATGACAAGGAACCGAGGGAGCCTCTGGCCAACATCCAGGGAGGAACAGGGACCCTCAGTCCAGCAGCCACAGGAACTGCCTCCCATCGGCAATCACATGAGTAGGCTTGGAAGCACATTCTGCCCAGCTGACCCTGAGCTGATGCAGCCCCAGCCAAGACCTTGATTTCAGTCTGGGAGACCCTGAGCCAGAGGACCCAGCTGAACAGCTCCTCCGTTTGGACCCACAGAAACTGTGAGACTGTGCCTGGTGGTGTTTTAGGTACTGAGTTGTGCAGGGAGGGGAGACAGGAGAATCACACAGGGGGTTTCACTGCATCTGTCCAGAAGGAGCATGATCCCTGCTCTTGCTTTGTGGCCAGCATTTGTCACAAGGCTCTGGCTAACTGCCAGGGACGAGAACATGAGGGGAAGCATGATCATTTAGTGAGCTCTGCTGTCCCTGCCACCAAGACAGCACTTCCCATCCAGGCCCCAAGAGGCCGCATTAGGCCTTCCTTGGTCATTTTCCTGTAGAACTGTGACCAGTGGGCACATTCGCCTCAGGGCCACCTCCTCCAGAGCCCACCCTCCCGCTTCAGACACAGACCGCAGGGACCCAATACCCTCTTTCCTTCCTGGGGACCAAGGTAGGACAGAACAGGACCAGGGAAAGTGTCTTATCCTGAAAAGATGATCAATCTGCTTCTTCCACCAGGTCAGGATCCATCTGCCTGGGTTGGCCTCTGGTTTCCAACGTCCCAATCCTCTCTCCAATTCAATAAATCCTCATTATTTCAGGCCTGCCTCCCTCCTGCTGTACTTATTCCCATTCCTGGCTCTCAATGGAAGCAGAGAATTGCTCGTGCCAGCGTTCATATGCACAAGTATTTCAGATATTTCTTTGTATTTATTTAATCACTAAGTCACTTAACCAGGCATCTCCTCCAGGTCAGGTCTTAGGGGGGATCTCCCCAGGCCCCTCCTGTCACAGAGAAGGAGGTGCCCCAGGGGGAGAACTTGTCCTGGGTCACACAGGGCAGAGCCACACCTGGAGCCAGGGCTCCTGTCTCCCAGCCCAGTGCTTCTCCCCTGCAGGAGCGCCCATCACCTCCCCCACTCTGTCCCTGTCCTCCCCAGGAGCTCCCCTGCCAGCACTGCTCTCTCATCACCAGGATCAGAGCAGTTCCTGGAGGGTCATCCTCCAACTTGCCTCTCCTAGGAAAGGGGAAGCAAGTACTTAGAGGGGTTTAGCAGGGCAAGGACTTCTGGCCGGCTGAGAGGGTTAGACAGCAGCCTAACCAGACTCCCCACTTGCTGGAAAGGAGGGAACCAGGGAGAGAAAGGGCTCAGCCTTCAGGCTGCAGGGAGGACCCACCCAGAAGGGAATGGTGAGCCCAGCTGCGCGGAAGATGGAAGGAGACGTAGAAAGAGGAAGGCGGCAAGAGCTGTGATCTACAAAAGATCTAATCCTGAAGAAGAAAATAAAGCCGGGGGGTGTGGTTACAAACAAGACAGAATAAAAGTTTATGTAAATAATACAAAATTTAACACTTACAAATCAACTTAAAATTTTGTCCATTTCCCTCCTCTCTCTCTCCCTCTCTCTCTCTCTCTTATATAATCTTCCAACCCCAGAGCCTACGGAGAAAACTCTAAATAACAACATATTTTCCAGTTATGTAAAATTGAAGAGGAGGCCTACATTTTACTGTAGACATAAATTTAACTTGTTAAAAAAGAGGTCATGTTTTACAAAGCTCATTCTTATTTCAAGACATCTGTTTATAAAAGTTCTCTAATTCATTAAATTTCATATAACTCCTGCAAGTTTATTCAGTGGCTGGGTTACTAAAACAAAAAATTAAAACAATAAAAGCTTTCCAACTTTCTCCAGAATTCATAATTCACTGCGTATTAGTATTTCCTCATTCGTTTTTACTTAATTTCCTTCTACATAATCATATAATCTCCCAGGAAGTCCTGTATGTGATTACGGTGTTGTCCAGTCTTCATTTCATTTTCACTTAACTCCCTATTGTTTCTACTTCCATTTCTCTTCTCCCGAAGTCCACTCCCTTCTGGAGCCCGCATTACCAGTCTACTGTTCCTTCTGTAGTTTCTCCATGTTCTTTCTACAAGTGGGTATACAGAAACCCTTAAATTTTAGAGGCTGCTGTTCCTTTTATCAAAGCAGAATTGCACTGTATTCAACATCTTTCATCTTGCTCAAGAAACCCAGACTAGAGTTGCTTCCTCCATCTCAGACACAGGGTTCTGGTTGCCCCCCTCCCCCATAGGACAACTGTACAGGCTGCCAGTTCCCCTCTGAGTCCAGACCAGGGGAGCTTCATGCCCCAGCCCTTCCACGCCAAGGAGCGGGTTTCTTTGTCTCCCTCCCTCTTCCCAGGCAGCTCCGTGCTCTCCCAGCCTCTCTGTTATTGCACAGAAGCAGCCTCACCTCCCTGGAAATGTTTCCCGTAATGCAGCCAAGGCTGCCTGAGCACAGGGGTCCCAGGCTCGCCACAACCAAAAGGCCATTTTGTTTTTCTGTTCACCCCAGGGCTCTAAACCAAAGGCACTGTATTTGCTAAATAATTACAGAGCTGTTTTGTCTTTTTGTTCACCAAAGACTTCAGACGTGGACAGGGGACATTGCCTCCCTGCTCCCCCCAAAGGCCCTCCCTCCCAGCAGCCCGGGCCACTCACTGAGGAGTAGGCTGGTGAATCCCAGGAGCCGGGAGGCCCAGCAGAGATGGGGGTCTTCTGAGCAGGGCCCCATCACAGGCTGCCTGCCCGCCTGTGCAGCTGTGGAAGAAAGGTCTAGGAGGAGGGGCAGGAGAGAAGGGAAGCGTCACTCAGAGGGACACTTAGGCTCTTCCCCACCCCTAGGGCGGGGCTAGCATGATTATGCTCTGGGTTGACAGCCCACCAGCCTGTAGTAAGCCACTCAGATGTTTCCTATTACTATCCCCAGCACTTACAGTAGGACCTCAATAAACAAGGGCAGAATGAATGCACAAACAACTTCACTACTGGAGACGCCCCATCCCTGTGGTCACACCAGCTTGTTCGTCTCACACTCCCCACACTAGCACTCACTATAACTCCCTTACCTGTTTCCCTGGGGTTAGGCTGAGCCGCTCATCAGTGTCTGCCTATGATTGAGCACAGAAGTCATGCTATTTCAGCCAGGGTAGGCTGGGCCTCTGCTGCCTTGGGTGCTGTCTCCTCCGTCTTTACACTGTTTAATGAGTTTGGTTTTCCATAAACTTCAAATGTCAGTTGCTTAAGTAAGAAGCAAAGCTCTTAAGTAAGAACAAAGCTCTTTGGGGGAAGTGTCAACTCCCCATATCACAAATGCAAATATTGGCATTTACTGCTTGCACCCTTCTGGCTTTCCAGCTGCCCCTAGTGTTACTTTTTCTCCCTACACACAGGGCAAAGCCAGACCCCACGGTATCTGATAGGCTCTTGTCTGCCTCCTTCCTACCATTTCCCTTTAAGCCTCTGCCAGGCCTGCTCCTGCTATCACAGAGGGGCAGGAATAGATATCTACACACCCCTCCTGGCCACAGCCTCAGCTGCCTCAGACCCACTCCCACCTACTGAGGCTCGGGCTCTGGCCTCTTCTCACCAGACTGAATACCCCACAACATCGGAGAACTCTTGGGCCCACACCGTAGGGTACCAGCACCATGTGCCTAACTCCTGGGCAGTGCCTCCTTCTCATCCCCACTGAGACTTCCCCCTCCGCTGCCCCAAGGCTGAGGAGCCCCATGCAGGACTGGCCCCATGACCATGCACTCAACATAGTCATGGCACTGTATATTAAACCCATTTTATGGATGTGAAAACTGAGACCAAGCGAGGCAGTGTAATCTGCAAAAGGTCATACGGTGAATCAAGCGTAGGGTCTGGGCTCTCGACAACAAACTCTAGAAAAAAACCCCCAACAACACAGCCACTGTCCCATCCCACTGTGTGGCCTTAAGCAAGTCACCTGAGTCCATTCTGTGCTCCTTAAATTGCTCTGCTGAATCCCAGACAAGAGAATATCCAACGCTGGCTTATTCCCTCCAACCTCCTCTAGTAATGGGGAAATTACTGCAAAAGGTAATGAGTCCTGTGGTCAGAAACTTCTTGTCTGGGCTCAAAATCCAGGCAACTCACCCACTGGTCACTCTCAGAGTGATGGGGAGCAAGTTTCATATTTTCGCTCTCCCATGTCCTATAAGTCCTCTTGTGTTAGTCCTCTTGTGTTTGGGTCTGTAAACCATCTGCTCAGGATTTGGGGAGGGAGGAGGAGCCTAGAGAGAGGGAAACAGCAATGCAGCTACAGGCCAGGGGCACTGGAAGAGAGACAGACAGTAAACATTCCATGCTGGCAGAACACCAGGGACATTTTGTTTTTGTTTTTTTTTTGCAATATGTGGGCCTCTCACTGTTGTGGCCTCTCTTGTTGCAGAGCACAGGCTCTGGACTCGCAGGCCCAGCGGCCACGGCTCACGGGCCCAGCCGCTCCGCGGCATGTGAGATCTTCCCGGACATGTGAGATCTTCCCGGACCGGGTCACGAACTCGTGTCCCCTGCATCGGCAGGTGGACTCTCAACCACTGCGCCACCAGGGAAATCTCTTAAGGCAGCATCTCAGCCACCTTGTGCAGCTGCAAACGTAAATCATCATCAACACCTCCAGCCTGTCTACCTCTTTCAAATTGACAAAGCATTTTCATCTATGAGAGACAGATAGATATTATTACAATTATCTTCCCATTTTACAGATGTAGAAACTGAGGATCCAAAGAGGTTAATGAATAAACCCAATATGTAGTAGAGCCTGGCCTGGGACCAGGTCCCTGTCCTTTCATACCAATGGTCTTTCCAGATCCAAGTCCCTCTCAGTGCAGTGAATCTCCCACACAAGATGGTTTCAGACCTTGAGAAGCCACATGAAAGGGGGAGGCCAGGCCTGTCCCAGGGCAGCCTCTCTCCTCCCTAGCACCATTCCAGGCAGGAAAACTAAGGTCTGTGGCTGCATCTCAGAAGCCTCTGAGATCAAGGTGGCCTTTGTTCAACCCCAGCTCCTCCTTCTGCACTCAATACATCACAAACGGTCTGTGCCTCCAGCCCAGCCAGACCTGCAAAGGCTGCTGGCCTGAGAAACCTCAGCTGGTCTCTCAACAGGGCCCGGGGACCCTCACTGTCTGTGAGCTGCAGGCTGGTGGACCTGCACTCCTTCCCAGGGCAGTGACGTGTCCTCCTAGGGAGTCTCACGGTCCAGCTTTCACAGGGTCTTTTCACCTTAGTCTTAACATCCATCCCATCTGTCACACCAACGACATTACCTTTTAAACCTGGAGAAGGCCCCCCCCTCCCCAGTGGAGAGACTGCTCTCAGCCTGAGCTTGTTCCCAGCTCCTGAGAGAGCTCCTGTTTGTCCGTGACTCTTACCCCAGCCACATCTTTCGGCTTCTTTCTGCTGGGCTCCTTTATCACTAGATTTCCCTAGAGATTCTTGGCTGGACTGGTTGTCAACATCTCTCTTCTGTCCAGCAGGGGAGGACAGACCACACCACAGCACATCCTTCTACCCACCCCAGGCATTCAGACCACATTACTCTACCCCATAGGGAGGTGAGTGGGCTCTGCAGATCCCCACACACAGTCCCTGAGAAGGTGCCCACAGACCTTTGAGACCCTCCCATTGGGAGCACAGAGGGGAGGGAGAGCCCCAGCAGGAACAGATAACTGGGAAAACCTCCCCACTTTCGGGGTCACTCCCCATCCCTTATGGGCCTAAGAAAGAACCCCCATCAGCCCCCAGCCTGCACACAAGCTCCCACTCCCTGGAGTAAGACCTTGCCTCCCGCCCAATGCCCGAAGACCCTTCCAGATGCAGCTCAGATGGCCCCCTGGGAGCCTGCCCCATCTGCCCCAGATGAATTAGGTGTTCTCTGTGCTGGGCTCCCACAGCACTTCAGCTAGTTGTTGATTATTTGTGATGTGACCGGGTCACAGGCTCTTGTCCCCCTCTTCTGATGCAGGCCCCAGGCCCCGTGAACAGGGAGGCAAGGAGACCCCACTCTCAGGCTGGTGCCAGTTCAAGGTCGGCACCTGAGAGTGGGTGTCCCGTTGACTCACCCTGGTCCCAGCCCTCCTGTAAGGACTCTGCGGTGTCACATATGCTCTTGAACACGACAGGCAGCTTTCAGCTAAGCTGCACATGGCAGCCATGGCTGGTTTCCACTCAGCAAATATTTACTGAGCACGCCAGTGCCTCGGCACAGCCAGGGCTCTCATTTCCTGTCCAGGTCACCATCTGCTGCGGTCATTGAGCCCTGAGGTGGCTTCAGGGGCAGCGTGACCTCACCCAGCACCTCCCCTTCTGATAGACACTTGGTCCCCGAGGACCCAGTTGCCGTGTTCTGTGGGAAAACGAAGGTGAGCTCCTCCATGGCTATATCTTCCCAGACCTGTTTCAGGGGTGCTAATTCACCCCAAGAACATCCACCCCTCAGAAGGAAAATCTTAAAGTCTGCAGTGTTATCCTCAGAAATTCAAGTCTGAAAGCTAAATTCTACTATTGGCATAGTAGTAGAATAATTCTACTACTGGGCATATACCCTGAGAAAGCCATAATTCAAAAAGAGTCATGTACCACAATGTTCATTGCAGCACTGTTTACAATAGCCAGGACGTGGAAGCAACCTAGGTGTCCATCGACAGATGAATGGATAAAGAAGATGTGGCACATGTATACAATGGAATATTACTCAGCCATAAAAAGAAACGAAATTGAGTTATTTGTAGTGAGGTGGATGGACCTAGAGCCTGTCATACAGAGTGAAGTAAGTCAGAAAGAGAAAAACAAATACCGTATGCTAACACATATATATGGAATCTAAAAAAAAAAAAGGTTCTGATGAACTTAGGGGCAGGACAGGAATAAAGACGCAGATGTAGAGAATGGACCTGAAGACACAGGGAGGGGGAAGGGTAAGCTGGGACAAAGTGAGAGAGTAGCATTGACACATATACACTATCAAATGTAAAATAGATAGCTAGTGGGAAGCAGCTGCATAGCACAGGGAGATCAGCTCGGTGCTTGGTGACCACCTAGAGGGGTGGGATAGGGAGGGTGGGAGAGAGATACAAGAGGGAGGGGATATGGGGATATATGTATACATATAGCTGATTCACTTTGTTATACAGCAGAAACTAACACAACATTGTAAAGCAGTTATACTCCAGTAAACATGTTAAAAAAACCCCACATAGGTCAATGGAACAAAATAAAGAACATGGAAATAAACCAACACATATATGGTCAATTAATTTATGACAAAGAAGCCAGTGGGGAAAGAACAGTCTCTTCAATAAATGGTGTTGGGAAAACTGGATAACCATATGCAAAAGAATGAAAATGGCTGAGAAATATTCCATTGTATATATGTACCACATCTTCTTTATCCATTCATCTGTTGATGGACATGTAGGTTGCTTCCATGTCTTGGCTATTGTAAACAGTGCTGCAATGAACATTGGGGTGTTGCTTAGCCATTAAAAAGAATGAAATAGTGCCATTTGCAGCCACATGGATGGACCTAGAGATTGTCATACTGAGTGAAGTAAGTCAGACAGAGAAGGACAAATATCATATGATATTGCTTACATGCAGAATCTAAAAAAAAAATGATACAAATGAACTAAAATTTACAAGACAGAGACAGATACACAGACTTACAGAACGAACTTATGGTTACCCGAGGGGAATGGTTTGGGGGAGGGATAGTTAGGGACTAT